GACTTCTTCTTCAGTATGACCAGCCCCTTCATAGCAATTCCTGAGCGAGTTAAACCTCTGACGTTCATCTAAATATCCTCTCATTCACGCTGTCTCCGATATATATCGGTCGGTTAATGTTCTGTAGTAATCGCTGAATTTCTATTGTCGTCTGGGACATGTCACCGTGTAGCGTGTGGATACTTACCAACGTTTCGGAGGAACACGCTGCCTCCACTTTGCTGATAGAAAGTAGACACAATGGATTCAATCTAAACATGGCTAACGGCCCATCGGACAACACAGCGTAAGACGCAAGAAATTAATATTCTTAATGACCACCGTAAGAGCCTCAGATCACGAAGTAATTACTGTTTACTCGGAGAATGATCCGACATCCATAAATGGAACCCACTGACAAATATGCACAGTATCTTAATGTTAAGCAGGAGGTGCATTTGGATACCACTGAATTTAAAACTTTATAACTAGCACTAATGAACAAAGAATTAGTTCATAATAATATTGTATCAATAACTATTCCGGTATCGAAATTAGGCTACTGGCCGGGTAACCACAGAAACCAGGTTCGATTTCCGGTAAATACAAGAGATTTATATTTTTCCCACAGTGTCCTGACGGGCTCCTCACCCTCCTGTACCGTGGCTTTCCCCGCCAGCCTGGGAGTTAGTTGGGATTCGACAGTTGGAGCAATGCATTAGTTGTGAGATAGTTGCCGGCTAGTAAGGATGTGAACACGGAAGCTGAGGAAGCTACGGCGTTGGAAGCCGATATTAGGCGACAACCGGTGAAGACACAGCAGAATGAGAAACCTTACTACCTGCTGTAGTGGACTGCAGAGTGTGTGAATTAGCGATAGCTCTATAGTTACTTGTAGTTACGACCACAAATATTCAGTAAAACCAATTACCAATTCAAACCCCTTCTATAATCACCCATACAGACGGCAATATTAAGGTTCTGTTCTACGTTCGGATGAAAGATGAATATACAGGATGAAGCGAAATTCGCTCACAAGCTCTCCATAGCGTGATTCCTTGTTCAAAACCAAGTCGAGAAAGTTATATATATATATATATATATATCCTCATTTGTTCTGCTTCCTGAACACGCCTCACCATCAGATGGGACAACACACTTCTCAGCAATGTTATTTTCCACGAAAATATGTAGCGTGTTGTTATGTATACTGAAGACACAGTGTGCTGTATGGGTCACAGAATGTGTGTGTGTTCATGTAAGTGACGTTGCACTTACTGTGTAAGGAATTCAAGATGATGCCATATTGCGGATAGAATAGCCATGTTTCTTTTTTCACTTTCTCTACATATCCTGAAGGAACGGGCTTCTGGTATCTGTTTCTTCTTTTGGTACCCGCCGTTTTCGCAACAGAGACTTGTGGGACAAATTCAATGGCGTTTCACTGCTTAGTGTGAAGTTTTCGAAATATCTCTAGTGACAGACGTCAACTAATGTTACGTTTTCACTCTGTTACGCTTCTGAGCACAGCTGCCTGTTTCGTAACGGCTACTGAAATATATCGACGTTCTTAATTTTGCATGAGCTGTGCCGAATGTTTGCTTCAGTTGTGACCTATCAGCAGAAACGACGTTAAGAAATATTCGACTCTGCAGAATAGCGGGTGTGTTGTGAACCACGCTTTCATTAAGTCGCCTGTAATTTGTTTTCGCGCAGTCTGTAGACAGTCTTCCGAGAAATAGTTACAAACTGCAGCTGTCTGTCCCTTTTGAAAGTAACAAATTTCAACAGAACTATAACTTCAACGAATCTGACGTCACACAATCCAAGGCAAGAGAAATAAGTTTGATTCTGTTGGAAGCTCAAGGTCTTCATGAATCATGGGAAAAGCAACTCACTGAAGCCCGGAGCGCATCGCAAGGTGGCCATGATTCCTTGTTGTTCCGCCAATGAGATATGGGTCGGAATTGACTTCAGTGTCACTGATGGTTGCGTACAAAGTCCTTGTACTCGTAAGTAAAGTTGTCCCTGTGCTTAACTAATTAAGCACTACGCCATGAAGACGTAAGAAGAAGTGGATTTATATGTCCACGTATTCTTAACCTTGGCATTAGTCGGAGGTAAGTGGTCAGATTCACGCCCCGGTCGCTTTACCCCCGGGGAAACAGCCACCGTTACCCTTTATACATATATGAAACTGGGTGGGCCCCAGAGGCGTGGAGAACATAAAACTCTTGACCCTAGAGGGACTCGAACCCCCCAGTCTTCCAGCCCGTAGCCAGTCGCTATACCGACTGCACTGAAAAGCTAAAAATACATTTGACTGCTCAAGAAATGTTGCTGTAGTCTGCATCCGGGAGTAGAAACGAGACATGGCAGACATACTAGTATGCGGCTGCCACAAGATGACTTCTCTTTTGTGGCCGGACGTGACTAATTCCTTCAGATCGACAGCTCTGACAACAATCCTGCAGCCTAAACCCACACGGAGTCACGATGCGGGAATGTCTCTTTACTCAGGTGTGCTATGCATGATGTAATTCAACAAAAATTCTCTGATTAATAAGGCAAGAATCGCTGAGGACGCATGGAGGCGTGTGAATTTGACGTTCTTCAACTTGCGCTCCGTTGGTTTGCCGGCTTTTCGGCGTCACTGGCACTAATAGCATCGGATGATTAGATCATAATGAATAATGAACTAGGAAGGATGTCGAAGGAGTAGGTCGTAGCGTAATTGCATGAGTTCACAGTTTGCTTCATTGTGACTTAGTCATTGCTTTCTTATCTTATTTGTTATTTTTCATGGCAGTCTTATTGAGAATAACTGGGACAGTTGACTCAGTCAGTAGAATAAATGTTTACTAATACGGAATAACTATAAACAAACAAACTCCGTGATTTGAGTCCGCAAGCGAACTATACCGACCGAGCGACCGCCGCTTGTCGGCAAAATTAGTGCCAACTTTAGCGGATAGAGGGTGTCGTGTGGTCAGCGCAACGAATCCCCGCGGCAAAGAATACCCAAAGTCAGCTATAGAGTTCTTAAGGCTAGAAGAAAAAAGGTCTCTGCAAGACGTCTGTTACGTCATAAACAGCTCAAGCGGTTAGATGCTGGCTTTCCACCGCGCCGGCCCGGGTTCCATCCCGGGTCTGGTCAAGTGGGATTTGTGTTGGACAGAGTGGCGCTGGGGCAGGTTTTCTCCGAGTACTTCGGTTTCCCCTGTCAATCTTCATTACACCAATTGCTCCACAATCACCCTCACCTAACATCTGGGGCTGGTACAATAGGCCAGAAGTGGCCGCAGTGCAAGGGACTTAGTCCCACCCCACCAGCAATAAAATAAAATAATATTGGACACTGCCACCTAAAGGACAACTTTTCAAGATGGGACTGACAGATGACCCAACCTGTGAAAGGTGCCTACAAGAATATGAATCAGCCACACACATCCTATGTGATTGTGTGGCCGTAGCTTATTTAAGATGTCGTCTCTTTGATCAGTTTTTTATGGAACCAAGTGACTTTTATGACTCCCCCATAAGCAGGGTACTACACTTTATTAAAAGTGTAGGATTAAAAGAGGGCTAATCCAAGGGGGAGCACGATAGATCACTGAAGTTCCCAGTGCGGGGGCCGGTTTTTATGACCCACCCCTTACATACGTGTACATACATTTGTGGTATTATGAGAATAATAATCAATTCAATTTTACCTTCAACTTTCCTCGAAGAGCTTGTGCTCCCTTAACGAACTAGTGGCGCCACCCAGTGGACAGTCCACACTTTGTAATCAACTGCACAATGCGCACACTTCCCTAATTCCTACAGTCAGAGTATAGACGAGATATATCGAACGAAATCGCGAAAATGCAATTTTTACGACAGTAGAGCACACACCTGACTGTAGGTCTGACATTCGAGAAGACCAAAGTTTAGTAGGCTTCCTGTTTCGAAACCAAATATGGCTATGCAGTGCTGTTTCTTTGTATTCTGTTAGAGGTCTGAACGCGGTCTTATCAACACTACCAAATCTGAACGTACGAAATATCTTCTGGAATGTGACGCCCTTTCAACTGATAGAAATTTGGCAGTATTTCACAGGAACACACTGTTTCCATATTCATCTACCATGTAGATGGAGGCAGCACGTTCCTCCGAAACTTCGGCCTTACGTCCCAGAAATCATTACTCTTCACAGTCGACACCGCGAACATCTCGAGTCTCACACACATAAACGTCTTCGAACACGCTGAAACACTTGTGCTCTGTTTTCGTATACGACGTATGTTTCAGATGTGACATTGCGCAATATGCTAGTTCAGTTCATTTACTGGTGGAGGAAGTTACTGCCTGTTGAACACCCAAGTGCCAGGACCGCCCACTTTCGGCGGTGTGGGACCGCTTATTTCACACATTCACTGAACCCTCCATGTCTGGAGACCGTCACAGTTCGGATTAAAATACATGCATATGTGAATCATTCTAGGCAGAAACCGTGAAGGAAGGGACTATTTAGGAACCTAGGCACAGATGGGAGGATAATATTAAAACAGATCTTAAAGATATAAAAATGTGAAAGTGTGTGCAAGATTTGTCTATGATAAGGAGGGATATTGTGAACATGTTACTGAAGCTTGAGCTTTATGAACGAGGTGGAATTTATTGACAACCCGAGCGGCTAACAGCTTCATGGAACGAAAACGTTTCCATAAAAATTAGTATAAAGGTACCTAGCTTTCCCGTGCTTATTTCTCTAGGAAAACTTGACATGACACAACTTCGACAATCTAACAGTTTTCTAAAAACTAACTGTTGCTACTTATTTCTCTAGCAGCTAAGGAATTTAGCAATCGTTCTGGCAGTAAGTTACTGGCCCTCAAAGAATGTATGGCTAACCACACCACTTCGTGTAACTGTCCCAGGAAAGTGACGGAACCTAGTACATGTTCCACTGTTGCATACACATAGCATGTTCGTCACGCCACCGAGCTGTTACAACGGCGAGCAAGTAAGCTGGAACAGTTGCAGTTCGACAGTGCGAGGCAAAGCACAATGCAACAGTGACAACAGTGAACTGCCCGACAGAAGTAGTGTTTGGTAGTGCAGTTCATGATTCAACGGTTATGTCAATTGTGATATTGGTCCTGGGTACGAATATCACTCAGAACAGATAGCATTCGGTGTTACCAGTGCAACACATAACCACAAAATGTCGACTGCTGCCATCACGCCAGAAATGGGCGGTAGAGGGGTAAGTCGTATAGCGAAGTTTTCTGTCGTTTCTACTTCACACTCCTTTATTCACGTTAGTGTTTTAAGCCACTTGAAGATCAAGAAAATAATAGGAACGTAATATTAAAATCTATGTCGAGATAAAGCTGGACCTTAGCCATACAATCGCAACTTCCATTTCAGTTAATTAAGTGGTGCTTGTGTGCGTCATATAACAGCATAACATGGGGAATTCTTGCGAGATATTTCTCTCTTTTTAGCAGCACTGTGACGCATTAAATTTTCGTTCAGTGCTTACCCACGCCGCAACATTCTTTTCAGGGCTCTTATTTTATTTCGTTGCTTCCAAGTTCTCCTATTCTCTGAAACATACAGCTACCCCTGTATACAAGTAAACGCCATTCTTGCAATTAATATATTTCCCGCTAATAAATATTTCGCACGAAAATAACACTCGTCCTCCAACGTTTCAATTCTCATTTTCACCCACATCAGCCTACATCACACCAGCGGTGTCGGAAGAGGGTTGGGCAACCAGGTAGTAAATATATCAAACATTAATACGAAAATCGTAAGATATATTCCTACCCTGAATACTGTAAGTCGTGCTAGGTTAGACCATGCAGTCTGGTAAAAGTTAATCGATGTTTAGGAAGAAGTTACTGCCTTTGTCTTCAAGGTCGAAAAATAAGCGAAAGAAATGACACTTAAGAAGCAGACGGAAATCAGAGTGCTCTGCTTGCTTGTCTCACCCTTCTGCCCTGAGAATGGACGCTGTATATTCCTTTGACATGTCGGTGTACTACTACCGGAATACACGGCGTCACATCCATCCCTCTACTCTCTTGCCTCACTGCCTATATTTCAACCACCAGTGTCCGTCTAGTAAAAGTGGCCCTACGCTGCGACCTGATGTTTATATGATCTGTGCTCTGGCTTGTGACGCCATGTAATATGGCAGAGATATACCAACGTTTCCAAGGATATTTCTGTTTCCATCTTCTACCGTGAGGACGGAGACATCTGGTTCCTCCGAAATATTTGTGTGTCTGCACCAGGCTGCATCGCTTCGCAACCCCAGAAGCACATGAGCTTGACGTTTCCTCTCCGTTCGCCTGACAGCAGGCTAGACTGCTGCAGTGAGCCCTGTTCCTCACACCCTAGCAAGTATAAAGTGGAACACGAGGCAGCACAATGTTCCGTTTTCTTCAGAACTTTAATCACAACGAGAATTCTATGTAGGACTTAGGGCGGTATTGCACGGGAGGCCATGGCGCAGCAAGGACAGGTTCTTTGTGTCTTTCCTCAATTTTTCTTTCGCGCAAATACCTGGAGAGACCTCAAATTTTCCCGCTTCCTCTCAAGTCCTCTCCTTTCACGTGCTTTGTTTTACAGTGTTGTCAGTATCTCAGGATGAATGACGTTGAATGGTAGGTTGATGATACATCATGAGTTGGAAAGGCTTTTGTAGGAAGTGGTCGTGGCCTGATCGAGGTCCTATTACGAAACAATCGGAGACAGCAATTAGATTTTGATTAGGATTGCCAGAGAGCGGACAACTGCACAGTGGGGCAGGTTGCACTGCCAGCTTCTTCTCTCTTCTCCCTTTAGGTGGAGGCAGCAGGTTCCTCAGCACCTGGATAACTTCCTACCAGATTACACGGCGTCACATCCCAGAAAACAGTAATCTTTAAGATTGCAGGCTAATTTGCCGCTAATTGTAGCCGCTCATATCACAGTGGTAACTATACATATCACCTGCTTTAATATTCAGAATCTCCTCGTTTTCGCCACACACTCTATTTATGTGTTTGTGTGTTTCATATTATTTTCTAAGTGAACAACGACTATTTCCCGAAATTGCATTAATCGACTCTTATTTGTAATGGAGAGAATTGTGTTTTCTTTGTGGTAGGAACTTACTGTTTAAATATTAAATAAACTTCAGTCTTTGACACTGAGGGCGTCAAACGTTATATCGTTAAATAAATAATAAGTAAATAAATGAAAGGGCCGCCATAGCTCAAGCGGTTAGTCGCTGGCTTCCCACCGCGGCGGCCCGGGTTCGATCCCGGCTCTGGTCAAGTGGGATTTGTGGTGGACAAAGTGGCGCTGGGGCAGGTTTTCTCCGAGTACTTCGGTTTCCCCTGCCAATCTTCATTCCACCAATTGCTCCACAATCACCCTCACCTATCATCTGGGGCTGGTACAATAGGCCGGAAGTGGCCGCAGTACAAGGGACTCAGTCCCACCCCACTAGCAATAAAAAATAAATGAATAGGAGAGGAACCAGCAGGACTGGCTGGTCACGCACTGACAAAGATCGGAGTAATCATACACCTGCTACAGCTCAGTAGTCAGACATTTGCATCATCCTCCCTCGGTAAGGCCCGCAAGCGCAGAGCTGGATGACACAGGTCGGCGTGTTTCCCAGGGCAGTCATGGTCAGATGACTGTCCCTCCCAGCCTGCAGCATGTTTGAGGCCAAACTTACGGACGGATGCATCAGCCTACACCTACATGCCCTGCCCGTAGCATCCTCCTTGACTTGATAATTCTAATTATACTTGGAGAAGAGTACACGTTATGAAGCTCCTCATTATATACGTACAGTTTTCTCCAACCTCCTGTCACTTCATCTCCTTTCTGTCCAAAAATTCTCCTCAACATCCTGTTCTCAAACACCCTCAGTCTGTGTTCCTCCCTTACTGCCAGAGACCAAGTTTCATACCCATACACAATCAGAGGCAAATTTATAGTTCTGTATTTTCTAACATTTATGTTCTTAGACACCAGATGAGAAGACGAAATGTCCTTAGAATATACAGAACAAATTGAGAAGGGGGGCGCAACTAAAGCTGTGTTAAGCTAAGGGTGCGCTGTTATGAAGCCCGGAAACCGTTGACTACCTTAAAGACACACATGTAATGTAACTGAATTTCATGATACTTACAGAAAACTCTGGATGCGAACAGCTATGCCACGAAGAAGACCATAGCCCAGGGGATGTTGGACATAGCCCTACTCACAGCCAACGCCAGCCAGCTGAAGTACGTGTTACAGCTTGGACACCAACACGAGTTCTATACCCTCATGGTGTGGCTTATATCCATCTCCATAGTTCTGCAGGTATAGGCACTGCACAGTAAATCGCTTACAAACGGATCGTCTTGACGTACTGATGGAGTAAATATAAAGGTGAAGTGAGGGCCGCGCCATAGCTCAAGCGGTTAGTCACTGGCTCCCCACCGCGGCGGCTCGGGTTCGATCCCGGGTCTGGTCAAGTGGGATTTGTGCTGGACAAAGTGGTGCTGGAGCAGGTTTTCTCCGAGTACTTCGGTTTCCCCTGTCAATCTTTATTCCACCAACTGCTCCACAATCACCCTCACCTATCATCTGGGGCTGGTACAAGTGGCTGCAGTACAAGGGACTTAGTCCCACCCCACTAGCAATAAAAAAAGGTGAAAAGCTCTGGACTTCTTCTCTCACATGGATAGTTTTGTCACTGTACATCACAGTTGAGTTATTGGTTCACGGATTTTTTAATCTCAACACTGTATTGTGGTGATTGGTCAGTTTCCCGCCCCAGCCGCTTAACTCTGGGCTTCCGGTACTCAGTGGACAGGAGGCTGGGTGAGCATCAGGGTCAGTCTTAACACTGTGGTGCAGGATGAAGGCAGTAGGTTCATCCGAGATCTTGGTAGCATTGTACCAAACTTCACAGCGTCACAGTCCAAAAACGGTGCGCAGCGGAGCAAGGTTTTTGTTCAGAGAGTCGTTGAACCGTAATTCTGTACGCGCTGTCCTTTATAATGCTCACTGCCTTTCACATGACAATACCATAATTGTAGCAGCAGCTGACGCTCACACTCCATAGCATGCTTCTGAATGTATTTACAAAGACACTACGCTACTGTAACTTGTATAAATCAGTTACTGAAGTTGCGTTGTATCGATTAAACCTATCCTTCACCATCATCATCTGCCGATCAAGTTCGGTTTCTTGACCTATTTGGCCTGTGACTTTGTCAGCCTATATTCCTTATTCCGAGAAAATAAAAGGAGGCTTATGAGATCACCTTGTTATCTGTGTGTCTATTCTGCCCCTAATTCCTGAAAGCACAGGACAGAAGTTAATGGCTGCTGGTGCTCGCCTGCGGCAATTTACTTCATTAAATGCTGAAATGAGATTCTTCGCGTTCTGCTGAAATGTTTAGCGCACTTTATAGTATATTTCAAAATGTTGTACAATATTGGTTTTGTTCTTAGGTATTCTAACATATTTTTGTTCCACTCATGGCCCAACCAAGTCGTGTTTCGTTGTTCGTCTCATAAATTCTATTTCAGTAGCTGCAATTCTTGTAAACTGATATAATTAACAGAGAACGCTTGAGAGAATATTGAGATATATAGAAAATTTATCAAGCAGTAATGCGTTGTAGAATGTGACCGACGTTTCGGAGGAATGTGCTTCCTGCATATTCAGAGTCAAGAATAAACAAACCAGCAAGTAAATTCTTCTTTCTGCTTGCTTAGTTGGCTTACCCTTGAACCTTGAAAACGCAGTCCCCTGAAACGTCCGTGATGTCTGTCTGCTGCTTGTTTATTACTGGTTGCTTGCTTGGCAAGCAGTAGGTTTCTCCGAAACATCGGTGAACTTTTGCCTGTCTATAAGGCGTAACATTCAAGAAAATGCTGCTCTTTGTAATAATTTCTGTGAGAAACTCAAGTCCAACGGAAGTGTAATTCTTTCTCCGACTTTGAAGAAATTTAACCTAGGAAGTTTTGGCTGTATGTATTTGAAAAATTTAAATGTTAGCTTCATGGGCCAGAGAAATAGAATTTCTCCAAGGCTCAAAGTGACTTCCATATCGTAACCTCAATTATATATTGACTTCTAAATTACTGCTGGTCCTCGCCAGCACAGTGATTCTTGGTTCCCAGTCACACGGGACACGGCGCTGGGAGCCTACCAGACCATACCTATTCCTCTCAAATATACACGAAATAAGAGACTTGTTCCTACCGCGGCCACACGGTCCCTAATGCTACCGAATGGTTTGGCATAGCAGCAACAAGCTAGTCGCCTATCTGGGAGTTGCTCGTCTTGAACTTCGGACGGTACATCGGCTATTTTGGATGAAGCTCTTCGTTGTTTTATTCTGTCCCTCCTGGAAAATGTCTGAACAGTACCTCGGTTAGGTCACAATCGATTCCTTTCAAACCCTTTCCAATCCATTCGTTTTCTATCACAGCATCCTTCGACCCTAAAAATTTAGGTATGAATGTGCCATAAAACGCCGCCCTCCCCGCAATAAAGAATGCACTCGGATCGCTTTAAGCGAATCTCATTATGGCTGATATGTGTCGCGACCCTGAGCTTACGGCAGCCTAGCGGAACAATGGCGGCCCTGAATATTGCTCTGCACTGCCGTGTCCAAGGACATCCCTGGGACTCCCCGAATGTATAGACGACATTGCGGTCAGCCAAAGAGCCAGGCCATCCACTTACTTCCACATCGCGCCAAAGTTAGAAGTTAGTTAAATTGTACTTTCGTGTCCTGTATACATAAGAAAATTTCCCAACGAACATGCGATATAACAATTGGAGCCTCTGTTATTGCCTTTGATACCTGTGGGTGTTTCATTCAATAATAAAGTGGCACGAACCGGCACAATCGATATAAGGGAATGTTTTCTTTTTGTTGCTATGGAAACGCATGACCCATTTCAGTAAATTGGAACAAGAGTGTCATTCGTGAAGGAAATTATTCCAGTTCGTGTTCTTAGTCTGCGATTTAGAATCGTTCTTCGTGTTCCGTATCCACACTTGTTAACAGTTTTATCGGCACACAGAAGATCCAGGACAGTTCAGTCACTATGTTCTGGATCCACGGTGTCCAGACCCATCCAGCTTCCAGTCCTGTGGGTTCCAGGGGTCCTACCTGTCAGCACACAGAAGATCCAGGACAATTCAGTCACTGTGTTCTGGATCCACGGTGTCCAGACCCATCCAGCTTCCAGTCCTATGGGTTCCAGGGGTCCTACCTGTCAGCACACAGAAGATCCAGGACAGTTCAGTCACTATGTTCTGGATCCACGGTGTCCAGACCCATCCAGCTTCCAGTCCTGTGGGTTCCAGGGGTCCTTTTCCGGGAATATAACCGTCGAGGAGTGAACCTGACCGCTTTCCTCCATCTAGAGCCGAAGTCTGAAATGCGTGGATTTTTTCCCCCACTGTTTCATACGTCTTCATAGCGTGGTGCTTTATCACAGCGAGGACTACAGCTTTGCTTTTGGTTGAAAGATTAGTGATTCATTCGTTCAGAATCGACCGAACTACATTGGTTACTGTTTTATGGTCAGTGCACCGAACGAAATCGAAATTTGAGGATTAATTTAACCGCATATTTTTCTTATTTTTATTCGTCTGAATTTCGCGCGGATCTAGCCACCGGCCCCGTTCCAATTGAGAAGTAGCTGCCAAAATAATTTTCATTTTCCGTATGGTTCTTGTGACGAGGGATAGGCATATTGCAGCGCATGCCTGTACAGGACAACAGAATATAATCGCACAGCTAGGACCGCTAGGACAGTGAGGTCGCATATCAAGTCAGAGTCAAAGTCACATTGCAACTGACAGTCAGTCATTCTGACTGTCTTGGTGTCGAGCCCCAGCTGGGGCTCATAACCAGATATATCTTTTAAATGAAAGTTACTGTCTTGTCAATGTGGGCCGCCCACTCTGACGAGAGGGCATATCAAGAAAGCGACATGCAGTATATATGTTTTTTATATTATAGCCATGTCCCGACCGGAAGTCCAAGCCGCTATCTTTATTTGGATCATTAGGAGCTCCACGTTAAAGTAAACGGCCGTTCTCAAGCATGTCGGTTTTTTTACGTACATAATTGTTACGCCTTCACGACTAGGTCCCCAGCGCCTAGTTTCAAAGACAAGTGTCTATCGCGTCAGTGGGTGGTGGCCTGCGCGTCTCTCTCCTTGCTCAACACTCTGTCAGCTGTCAACTAAGAACCTAAGAACTGTTAGGTGTTTTGTTCTTACGCACTCTGTTCAGGGTGTCCTGAGTTCATAGGATTCTAACATGGTGTAGGTGTCCGTATCATCAGCATGGTTATGGATGCCTGTATCAGCAATATGAAGTATTAATGTCAATTTATGCACCTGTATGATCAGTAAGAATTATGGTTCCCGTGTCATCGGAATTACGTTGGGTGTCTGTCATCGATATGGATTTTAGTGCCCCTGTGACGTCAGTATGACATAGGTACCTGTATCATCAGCGTGAACTTATATGCCTCTCTCATTGTTACGGAGTTAGGTGCTTCTATTATCATAACAAAATGAGTGCCCCTATCATCAGAATAAATTTAGGTTCATCTGTCATCAAAAATACACGTGCTTGTGTCACCAGTATAAAGTTAAATACCTGTATGATCCGTATGAACAGGGTCAGAACTTCAGAACAACACACCCGTCTGAGCTGTCCTGGGCCTCCCCTACACAGTACTCAGTGTATGGAATAAATTTGTCTTTCTGTTCGTCCGCCCATGCGCGCTGTCTCCTCCAGAGTTACAGAACCGATAGGCAGCGCCGTAGCTCAAGCGGTTAGTCGCTGGCTTCCCGATCCCGGGTCTGGTCAAGTGGGATTTGTGGTGGACAAAGTGACGCTGTGGCAGGTTTTCTCCGAGTACTTCGGTTTCCCCTGCCAATCTTCTTTCCACCAATTGCTCCACAGTCACCCTCACCTATCATCTGGGGCTGGTACAATAAGCCAGAAGTGGCCGCAGTACAAGGGACTTAGTCCTACCCCTCTAGCAATAAAAAAAAATACAGAACCGATATCGATAAAGTTTGCATCGTGGTTTTCCTGAAGCACGTTGTGACTGATTCCGGTTCACTAAGACCCTGTTCCCCGGACGAACCAAATAGAAGTTTTATCAAGAATAGCTCAGCATACAAAGGCGTAGAATCAACGTGTCATGAAGTCCAGATTTCGTTTACATCCTTAACATTTATCTGTGCCGTTTATATTCAAAGTCACAGAAGGGAGAACTTAAGTTACTTTAACAGTACGCAGTGTAATTATCCGTATCTTATGTCAACAA